GGGGGGGGGGCTGAGGGGTGGGGGGCAGGGAGAGAAAGAAAACTGTCCGAGAAATATTCCATCTGTAGGTATTTTCAGGGAATCCCCTGAGTTACGAAAAAGTTCAAGTAAAAAAAGAAAAATCAGCCTATAATAATTTTGTATATAATGACTGAACTACTATAAATCCACAAGCAACAGTTCAGACACGGTGCCTCCAAAGCGTTCATCCCCTCCCTTCCCCTGCCAGGCACGAGCTGCGTCCTGAGGAGAGGTGGAGGGGGAAACCTCTTCCCCACCTGACAGCTCAGGCAGCAGGAGACAGAGCCCATCACTACTGCTGAGCGCCTGCAGCAGCCGGAACAGGCATCCCCAGGGTGGTGGTGGCAGAAATGACGGGTGAGCCTGCTAGAGGTCCAAGGGGTGAAGGTGTTGGCACTGAAGAAATCCCTGAAAAAGAGACAGGTAAGCAGGAATTAGGGTGAAACTGGTGGGTGGCTATCAAGGACAGCTCAGTTATCTCTCTGGGTCAGTTCGCCACCGCTTTGTTCCATTCTCCGAGCTGCCAAAGGAAGTGGAGGTTAAAGAGCTGCCAACCATTCTCGGCACCCTCCGAAATGAGAGATCTGTACGAGTGTCCCCAACATGCAGCCATAAGGCAGGATCGCTGCTGCCAAAAAAAAATCCAACCGCAAAGCACTTTTTAAAACGAGACCAGAAAAGCAGGTCAGGCTGCAGCAAGGCCTTCTGTATCGCCGTCTCCCACCCGCTTCTTCGTAGCCCTCCTGGCAAGACTCACCCTCCTGGATCCTCACGCCCACGCAGTGGGTGTAAACGCACCGAGAAAAGTTGCCAGTGGGACTGACCTGACATCATACTCGCACTGCTGACAGGAGTGCTGCCACCCGGCATGTTGGAGGAGCCCATCCGAGCTTGGTCTTTCACAATGGGATCTAGGAAGAGGACATTACCCTCAGGTGCCGTGTCGCCAGAGAGCAGCTGAAGCACGCTGACAGCCTGCGACCTCTGCGCTCAGCCAGTCCTGCCTCAGGAAATCGTAACAACCAGCTTCCCCCAGACCACAGAAGCTTCCACCAGAACACAGAAGCTTCCACCAGAACACAGAAGCTTCCACCAGAACACAGAAGCTTCCACTCGCTCCAGTGGGAAGCACCCAAGAAGGTATCAGGGTAATGTGATCAGAAATCACCTAAATGATGCGCTTCGGAGTTCAGCGGGACTGCTTGACAGGGAAAACTGAAGGAAATTAAGGTGAAGTTCATCTCCTTTCCATGCTAAGCAACTGTATAATTGCATAAAGCCGAAACCAGAGAATGGGTGTAGCAAGCAGAAAGATTATCACTGATTACAATCCTGTGTTACATCGCTACACACCAGCCCGATGAATGTCACTGCAGCTTCCTGTCTTCCATAAGATGCCCCCAATTCACCCACTAAGTCTTTATTTCCAGCTACGGGAAAATAAAGCTGCCACCTGAACTGAGACTTGCCCTTCCTGCCTCCCGAGCCTACTGCATCAGGCAAGGGAATTTTAAACTTTGCCCTTCCTCACGCTGAGCTCAGGACAACCCTTGGACACAAGTTAATCGAGCTCTTTGCTCAACTCTCACAGTCCAAGCTTTCAGTTTGACTGACGCTCATATTTCAAAACACTTCACTGGAACACTGGCCACAGGCCTACCACAGATCTATACTGTTTGGTAATTACATTTTTTTAGAAAAAAACCAACCCACAAAACCCAGCAACTACTGGTATTTTGCACTGTTATAGCTGTTTCAGAAACCTAAATATCAATAACTGTGAAAAACAGCAAGTGTTAAAAAACACTTACTAGCAGAAGTCACATTGCTGCTTGCAAAATCAAGACCACAAAGGCTGGCAAACTAAAATACGTATTTAGCAAGAAAATGAGTTGAAAGGATTCTGTTTCTCAACAAACCAGAGGACCTGGTTTTATCAAAACACGGGAATACCCCAACACCTGCCAAAATTAGCCCGGGTTTAGCCCTAAAGCTTCAGTAACATCGTGCTGCTGATTCACTGGCCTGACCAGGCATCTACTGCCACGTTTCCTTGGCTGGGCAGGTGGCAGAGCCCTACTTTACCCCATGGAGATGAGCAGCCTCAGCTCCAGCACAATTCCTTCAAAAGCGCAGGCTCATTATGTTGCCGTTCTTAGCTCGGATCTATACAACCTACAGGGACAGAGCTTTCCCAGAGGCACGAGGCTTTGGGCAGCAGAGGATGAGGGCAGCTGGCACTCACAGAAATAGGGGTGTTCCATGGCTTCTCTCGCTGTGAGTCGTGACTGGTGATCGTATCGCAACAGCTTGTCTAAGAAATCCAGAGCTTCTGGACTCACCAGATGTTGGTTCTCACTGTGGACAAAGCGCTCCCATCGCTTGCGGGAGTGTCTGCATTAAAAATAAATAAATAAAAAAAAATACTCAAATCAGGCCAGGCAGAGGATATCAATGCCAAATTTCCCCATTTTAAAGCGCAAGAACTGCCGTGACAGATGTCTGCCTCTGCGAGGGGCTGCTGCTTGGTGCTGGAGCAGAGAAGCAGCAGTGCTCGCTGTCTCCACGTGGTGGCACAGCCACCACGGCCCAAGTTCCAAGTGGATTTATTTCTCTTACACCCCTGACATTTGTTCCTCGTAGCTTCAGTATGCGTCACACAAAACAACATTATGAGGGGGGAAAAAAATAAAAATCTGTAAATGCCATCTTAAACAGCACCTGATTTTCTGCACTGTAATCTTGAGAAACATCGTTTGTGTTTTTTTTTTCCGCCCTGAATACTGGAGAGAGCACTTCCCATTCATGCTTTATGCTCTGACAGTTCGTTTATTGCTTCAGTGACATTTAAAAGCCTTTCCTCAAGTCCATTTGCAGATAAAGGACCACAGGAAGCACTGGCAAAAGTGATCAAAGGCACAGTTCTCGAAAATCCTGGCTCTGATTTCTCTCACAAGCCTAAGATTTTGTTCACTTCAAAGTCTGTTGACAAAGCAGCAGCCGCCCAGGTCTACCAAGTGCTTATGAGTTACTCCAGACCTTGGCTCACCTGCCCAAGATGTCATTGAAACGTGGATCCAGTTCAATGTTGTATTTGTCAATATAGTCATAGAGATCTTCCGTGCCCAGCACTTTGGCTATCCTCACCAGCTGGGAACAAACAGAAAAACACATCACTCCCGTAAGGGTACGACAACGCCAGAGCCAGCGTGAAGATACCAGCAGCCCTGTTCCCTTGGGAGCTTGAACTCGATCTCCGTGGCCTGAACCAGCAGCCACAAGGGTCATCCCGTGGCTCTGACTTCCCAGGCCACGTACGATCCCATGAACGTGCTTCCGCTCACAGTCGGAATGTGGTAACCCAGGGCAGGCATGAGGGAGCCCTAACATCACTAACACTTAAAGACTTTGCAACACTAACTCCCTTTGCAGCAAGGAAATATTGAAAACTAGCAGGCAGGCAGGGGGGAAGGCAAGAATAACTCAAAAAAGTAGAAACTCTGTAACTTGCAGGTAAAGGGTGAAGCACCGCTCTGCAGGACTCCAGAATAAAGGTCTGAGAACCAAAAGTTGCTGTTCTTGAATGTCTGCACGTTAGTTGAGATGCAGAGCTCATGCTGAATTGTGAAAATTTTGGCCTAAAAGCAACACTTCAACAAATTCAGTATCTAGACAAAACTGTACCAAATTTGGTTTCTCTACAGAGGGTAGGGAAGGCAGGTGGTGGCAGGGGCTTTCCACATAACCTCAAGAAAAGTGGTTCTACACACCACAACACACCAGCCTTAATAATATAACTATTGCTGTTGCTTTTCCCAGATACCTGCTGAGGAGCTCCGAAGCACAAAGCACTATAAATCTATTTAATTGGTGAGGTAATCTGGCACGCTCGAGAAAAGGAACAGGGCTTCAAACTGAGCAAAGAAGCTATTAAAGAAACGCTTCGATTCTTCTTCAGATCCCTTGAGAGAAGAAGCATAAGCAGGAAACCTTCGTTGTGCTACAAGAACAGAGATTGTACATGACCAGCTCTCACCTGATCATAGTTGTCATGGCCATGGAAAAATGGCTCCTTTCGGAATATCATACTAGCCAACATGCAACCCAAGCTCCACATATCCAGACTGTAATCATACATCTGTACAAAACCAGAAGGACAATTCAATTGCTAAGGAATTAAGCAGAACAGACTCCCAAGACTAACAGGGTCCCCCTCCACCCTCCAGCAAGACAAACATGGCTACGTTACGCTGGGAACAGACTGAAATATCCTCGTAGCTACATCACTGTTCGGCTCAGCCTACCAGTTACTCAAATTGGGATACAGCAATTAGCAGAACAGCAGGGACCCTGTTTCCATCCTTGTCCATAAATTAAAGACCGGTGCCTTTTTCTGTTTTGGCTGCGGACGGCAGCGTTAGGAATCGCTGAGGAGCACGAGAGATAAGTGAAGCATTGCAACGAGCAATAAAAGGGGTGGACTCCGCAAGGGGCACGGGCAGGTGAGGAAGTGCTATCAGTCAAAACCAGCACGATCTGGAAGTCACCAGCAAGGCTGCTATTTCCAGCCCACAGCATTTCCGTAACGCAAGCTGCCATCAGACATGGGGATGCTTAGAGCTTAATTTAGGAGTTCGTGCAGTATTAGCTATTCCCACAAGGGCTTTGTTTCATTCCTGTACCTTACTGCAAATGCAGCCTTGCTTTAAAAAAAAAAAAATTAAAATAATATTTATATTCCAAGATCCATGGTGATATCTCTGAGGCTCTTCCTCAGGTCTTGAGACTACTCATTAGTTTCTTTAATTCAGGGGCTTCATAGCCACTGCCTTCTGCAACAGATTTTATCGTATTTTTATGTATGGACTCTCTTGAGCTTCAAGTCTACAGATACACGAATTTCTGGTTCACTACCTTGAAATGGCACAGACTTTCCATATAAAAGTCAGTGATAAACCCTGGTAATTCTTACCTGATAATCTACAAGGAGTTCAGGTCCTTTGAAATATCTGGAAGCCACTCTGACATTGTACTCTTGGCCGGGGTGATAGAATTCAGCCAAACCCCAGTCTATTAGTCTAAGCTAGAAATGGTAGAAAACAAAGAAAAAAAGGCTCAATGGATGCTTACTTTCAAGCTCCATTTACAAGTCTGCCATTTCCAATTAATTTCAAGTTGATCAGACTATCTATTTAGATCTTCTCCCCAAACCTATATCGTCAACTAGAGTGCAGAAAACACCTCTCCTTACCAACCCTGTTTATGGGTTACACATAACCCGTAAAAAACTTCAGAAAAGCAGCACAAGGAATTTCATCTTACACTTCTGCACACGAGGGAAGTGCAGTCCCCCCTGGGGACGTGTGCTAGCAGTGCTACGCAGGAGTACCCGAGGAGGAGCCCAGTTTGCCCAGCGTTACCTTTCTGTGCTCGTGGTCAATCATCACGTTGTGCGGTTTGACATCTCTGTGCATGATTCCCATGCTATGGCAGTAATCTAGAGCCTGGAGGCGACGAACAAAGAAACAGATGCTGGAGTCACAAGAATCTTCCAAGTACAATCATTTTTAGATGTATTTCCACAAATACCAAGACTTCACTGACACTGACTGGTGTCATATCCTGGACTACACTCACAGAGCACACAGAACACCTCTGGAGCACCCTCTCAAAGGAAGGGCCCAACAACACAAGTGTTTTGACTCTGCCTCACGTGCTTCTTCATAAAAATGGAATTTCAGAGTCCCTAAGAGCAGAGTTACTAGTCACAACTGACCAAATCAGCCTCCCCTTCCCCAGACTCGTGATGAAAAAGTGTTTGTTTCAGAAGCACGGACAAATGACACATGTTACGTCTGAGCACAAACTCAGCCAGTAGCAGCTTACAATTTTCTGTTTTCAGAGGCTACAGGTATGTTTGATTTAGGATCTTAAGTTGCCTCAGCATATCCAAAGGCTTCGCTAGCCTCAAAAAACCAAAAGGGCTGGAATTTGTTACAAACCTGAACAATTGATACCGACTTGATATATATTTTTCTATCCAATCCTTCCACAGGGTTTTGCTTCCCTATGCCCATTTTAGTTCCATGATCTCTATAGGATTAGCTGAGTGCAAATCCTAGAAATCATTCGAAAAAAACCCAGCAAAGCACCAACTTACCTTCAAAATCTCATACATGTAGAATCGAATATCATAATCTGTTAATGTCTGGTATAATTGCTGTGGGACACAAACACATCATATCAGTGTTCAGCATCCAAGAAAAATGTCCCATCCCGAGCAACCCCGTCCTGTTCTCTGCTGCTGCAGTTCTCCAAACCCACACGAAGGAGCAGTAAAAGTTTCCCAAATTGTTCTGATCCCACACTCCCCTTACAAATCACACACGTAGTTTACTTCCAGCTCTGCTGGACAGCACATTCTGGTTCCTGTCACTAACTCCCTCAGGTTACACTCATCCAACATGATGTTTGACGCCTGCAGACTGGGTCTCAAAAAGACCAAAGGTGCTCTGCAACATTAAGCAGCTATTCCAGGTGGCTTTGCACAGCCATCCTTCTCCTGAGGCAGGTCAGGAGGGAAGGGGACAAGGAAACATTGAAATCCCTTTTCCCAGAAGTACTGAAAGCCACAGAAACAGCTGTCCACGTTTCAAGTGGCTCCAATAAATAGTTATACACCGAACAGAAAAGCAAAACACTTCAAAAAGACAGGCACTGCTGGTCCACAAGAGAACAGATGGATTTGCTCCGAACATCAGACCACCACTTGACACCTGGATTCTCGTCTTGTAACTTCTGTGGCAAAATGGTACTAAGAGACTAAACCCAAATTTCTGTCCCAAGTGTATTTACCTTTAAGAGACAGTTACTATTTTGGAAGGAAATGATTAAATACCCTGCCTGCCTCCTACGAACTTGCCTTCCCCCAGAAAAACATGATGAGTGGCTTTCAAACGGAAATCACGCAAAGTTTACATCCCACACGGTACCTTAAAGTCTGTGTTGTTTACATGTTCAAAAACCAAAGCGGGTGTCCGAGACTAAAACAGAGAGAAAAGCGTTCAGCCACATTAAACTGAGATAATACATTTTCATTTAGGATCACCAACTTGAAAGATTTGCACTCCTAAAACCGCAAGAAGCCCCTCTGCCTCATGCATACTTGTGACTCCCCTGAGAGAGCAGAGGCAAAGCCTGGAGCTCCGGGCAGCGCTGTTTGGAGAATGAATTAACTCGTCTCACTTCACTGGGACCTCACCCTCAGAGTGAGGGGCTGAAGGGACCCGTGGGGGAAGGGCGCTCTAAGAGAAGTTAATCAGATTAAGAGCTGATCTGATTAAGCAATTCAAAAGTGGGATTTGGGAGCAGGGGAAAACATAAAGCCAGATCAGAGCCGAAGCCAAACACAGCAACTTCACCCATAACCCCAGCACACCCTTTAAGTTCCTTCCATACTCACCACAGGATCTTTTACTATATCTGCAAGAGTGATTATATTGGGACCGCCTCGCAAATTCTCTAAGATCTTGATTTCACGCTTGATTTTCTTCTTTTTAACAGGCTGAAGAATAAAAACCAAAAGTGTTAAGACAAAGCCTTCCAGTAAAGTGAGGCTAACAGACAGCTCAATACCCAGATGACCGAGGCAGGTGACTGCAAAGCAGCAAAATGCATCGGAGGCTTTGCAAGGTAGGTTCAAACGGCAGATCTTGTTGCTACCTGACCATGTGCCATTCCAGTAAGGGCTCAAACATCCTGACAGCTACAAACATGACTTCCATGTGAATGAGGGTTAGGAAGACAGTGTAAATTTTTTTTTTTTTTTATCTCCGTACATGATCTGATAGTCCAAAACTTCTGCACTGGTATGTGGTAAATGTGTAACGACAAGAAACAGGCTGCTAAATAAAGGTATTTCACCAACCAAGGGTGGGGAATAACCAACATCCAGGAGACCTTGACTCTGTCTGGACGGATATTACATATGTGATGGCACATGCAGTACAGAAATTAAAATTTTAGGGTTACCAGGCCCTTCATTTCATCACTGGCTTTAAAGGACAATGATCCCACTAGCTCACAGGCCTCTATGCACATGACACCAGGCCAGGGCACTGGTAGTTAGAGGAGGTGAGAATTTTTTAGTCAGCTGGTGAAGTGCTGCTTAGCTCCAAGTAAAAACGTTGCACACCAGGACTTCTTTAAAATAGAAGCTACTTTCTTACAGGTAGAGATTTGACTCAATAACCAAGCGTAGGGCTTCTACTAGGAGGCTCAACATAGAATTATTTCACCGAAAAACCCTCCAAGGCCAGGCTTTAAGGATTTCAGGTTTAGAACAAAAGACTTTTTCAATTAAATGCTGCACTTTCTGGCCTCCTCAATTAAAGAGAGATATCATCGTTTGCCCAATCCCCAGCTCACCTTGAGAATTTTAACAACTACTTTTTCATTATTTGTAATGTTGATGGCTTCAAATACTTCACTGTATTTGCCTCGGCCTAATTTTCGAACTAGCTGGTAGTCATCTTGATTTCTGTGAAGATAAAAAGTTAAAAGAATTCCAGCCTTTTCCACCACGATTTACAAACCACTCCTTAACACTGAACCTTTGCCAGACAAAAGAGGATTAACTACTGTATTACACCTCCCGAATGTGACGATTAATAATTAGGAGAAAAACAGGGAGCTTCCACTGGCCTAAGTTAGATTCAATCCAGAACTTGTTTCTTCTGCAGGAGGTAACATAAGCCCAAGCACACATCAGCAAATTTGAGATATTCCCTTCCGGTCTCTATATATTCTGAACTTGTGTAAGGTTGTTAAAAAGCAACAAAGACAGTAAGAGCAAATCCAGGAACCGCCAGGGAGCTGAGGGCAGAGCTCAGCCCGGGCCCCGCTACACAAAAGCGGGAATGCGAAGCCATGAAGTCGGCATCGCCGCCCTCCGATTCTCGGACGCCTTAGTCACGAGCTCGATTTAGACACCTTCTTCCTTCAAAAAGGAGCAGACACATCTTTTCCAGTCACTTGCAGAGAACTGAGCAACAAGTCACAAAATAGCATGTACTTATTTAAGTCTGCCGAGTCTCTTCACTTATGCAAGTCAGAAGTGACTTCAGCTGCCTTTTCACTTCTCTTCAGCCTCACTCCCACGGCTGGTTATAGACTGTTTCAGAGACACATTTTCTGCCCTCTGAAAGGACAAGTTTCCTGACTACCTGGCAAAAATTCTCTTAAGGGAGCTGCTAAAAACATTCTGGCGCTGCTGGGGACGTAGAATTTTGACAAAGAACATTTTTCTGAAGAGAAGTTGTGATCCCAACACCTGCCACGAGTGCTAGACAGTCACCAAGGAGCACGAAAAAGCCCAACGTGGCGCAGGTGCCTGAGCTCCCCCCCGTGCCCCACTACGCCCCATCTACACCAGATCACACTGGGATCATTCCGAGACTTACCCCCACTCAACAACGTGCGACTCATAGTCCCAGTACTCCCGGGGTCTGTGTGTGTTCACATCCGTGTAAACTCTGGCCCTGCTCGGCACGGGTCCCGACATATCAGACAGGTTGGCAGGCGGGAATGATGAGACGCCTGAAACCGGAGGCTACCCCAAAGCAAAGCTGGACAGAGGATAAAGGCCTTGGATTCTTCCACCTGCAGAGGGAAAATAAACCAAGGGTTAAAAAAAAAAATCTCAAGACACTATAAAAATGTTTAAGTTAATGATTAAAAGCCGCTGAGAAGGAAAGGCTGGAGCCCAGCTACAGGTCCGGGAGCAAACAGAGCTGCCAGATCAGCAAGGTCACCTGCGCAACCTAAATTAAGCACTTTCTGAAGTTTCAACTTTTCCAGAAATGTCAATTTTCATTTAAATCAGAACGTGGGGATTTTACTTGCACTTCTCAAAAGGACTGAAGCCTTTTGTGCACTCACACACAAAGGTTTGTGGGGCTACATCTATTCGTTCTGCGGAAAGGGAAAAAAAAAAAAAGAAATAAACCCAACTCGATCCACAGCTGCTCTGCCCTTCCCACGCACTGGAAAATGCAGGTGCCAACCGAAGAGGTTACGTACAAAGCAAGGCTGCTCAGCTCAGGGGCAGGTTTCTGGAGGAGAGCAAAGCCATCCAGACACGGTGTCAGAGCACGCATCTTCTCAGATTTAAGCATCTTCCCACCCGTACGCTACCACGCAGGCCTGTACAAAACACCTCAGCAGCCTTTCAACACCATCGCCCAGGCTGCTTTCCCCACAAAACAACAACGTAAATGTATCCTCCTGAAAGGAGCATCGGGACCAAAACATTATCACATAGTCACAGGATGTTGGGGTTGGAAGGGATCTCTAGAGATCACCCAGTGCCACCCCCTGCCAGAGCAGGGTCACCCAGGGCAGCCACACAGGAACGTGTCCAGGCGGGTTTGAAAGTCTCCAGAGCAGGAGACTCCACACCCGCTCTGGGCAGCCCGGGCCAGGGCTCCAGCACCCGCACAGGGAAAAAGTTTTTCCTCATGTTTTTGCAGAACCTCCTGTCCAGCTTGCAACTGTTGCCCCTCGTTCTATCACTGGACATCCCTGAGAAGAGTCCGGCTCAGTCCTCCTGACACTCACTCTTTTCTTTCCAGATTTATAAACACAAATGAGGTCACCCCTCAGTGTCCTCCAAGCTAAAGAGACCCGGCTCCTTCAGCCTTTCCTCACCAGGGAGATGTTCCACTTCATCACCTCTGTGGCTCTGCGCTGGTCTCTCTCAAGCAGTTCCCTGTCCTTCTAGAACCTTGGGGCAAAGACAAGACCGCTGAAGTCCAAACAGCACTCTGGGGATTTGCACAGTGGAACATTTTTCCCATTTCCACACATTCTGAAGAAGGTTTTTCCTACTGTTCACGCCCTCCTGGGCAGACATCTCACTCCATCACCTCACAACGGATCCCTTCTACACACAACCTCGTGTCCACCTGGAAGCGAGCAAGACTCCAAGCCATGGGCTCCCCAATCTGGGCTGACTTAAGGCAAAAAGCAGCACCAGGCTGTGTGACACAATTAAGCCCCAGCACAGGTGACAGCATTCTCCAGGAGATGTAGGATATTTATGGGGATGAGCCACATCCACGTTAACGAAAGCATCATGAGGAAAAGTACATCCCCAACTAGCAGGGAGGCAAGAAAGGACATGGGGAAGAGTTCACAGAGGCCAGTCAGTACAAACCATTCCAGGATTAAACGGCTCAAGGGGGCCTGGAAGACTTCATGACAAACCGAGGCAGACAGAGGAGTTGTGCCAGGGTGGGGCACCAGCTTTGGTCACAATTTTCTATAGTCAAGACATTAAATCTGCTGTTCCAAAAGCCAGCAGCATCTGTGTTCGATTATGATGCTTTTACTCAAACACGAGAAAGATTCTGCTTTAATGGTCCAAAAATGTATCTCTGCATTCTGCTTGCCCAAAGGATCTAGTAAGCACCTCTGCTTCTTCCTCCTCACAATGGGATTCTGGCAAACCTTAAGTTTTACCGCTACCGACACTAGTCAAAATAACTCAGAAGAAAGTTATCGTAGGTCAAAGACAAATAATCTCATTCCTGAATATTTAAAACAACAGCACTGCAGTCTTAAATTTCATACCCAAGTATTGTCCTGCTAAAACAGAAGTAGTGCCTTTGCACCTCTCAAATCTTTCACCACGAGTGAAAGCTGACACACTTCGGAACATTTAAACACAAGAATCTCTTTGTCAGCTTTCAAAATAACTTTAAAGGAAGGAAGCTGTATCAGAGCATGAAAGAGCATTGTTTGGTGTGTAGCGTACGGCAGAGACCGCACAGCCCTGTTTGTGAAAGGCAATCAGTGGGTAAAAGAATATGATGTGTTTATTCGCTGTGCCTTCACAAAAAAACAGCAACTGCCCGACTGCGGGAGGAAGTAATAGCCCCTTTCATCAGAGACGTAGAAATCTGCTCAGAGCAGTGAGCTCAGGCTATGAGGACACATCACACTGACAGAAAATTCTAGAAGCAGAAGAGGGCTCTGGTGGCAGCAGCTGGTTCCACAGCGAGAGGTGAACAAGGTCTCTTTCTGGCCTCCGCGGGCAGCACGGACTTTGGCAGCGCGGGGTGATTTTTTGACCTACTGACACACAAACGGCGTTGAAGGCAGCTCCGGGTAGGAGTTTGCAAGAATCCGGCCCCAGGGTTAAAAAAAGGGACACAGCCCCGTTCCAAAGTCCGCAGCAGAGGCGTGGCTGAGGCCTCAGCCCAGCAAAGGAAGGACCAGGCGCTTCAGCCAGGTGTTGAGCTAACAGAAGAATACAGAGGATTACTGAAAAAACCAGCCTGTTCCTGGACAAAGCGTTAGTCCTCTAACAAAATACACTTGTAGAAGATTAGGCAGCAATCATCTAAGACCTCAAACCATTTCTGTGGCATGACTCAGACACTCAGAAATTAGATGTATATTCCAAAAATATACTCCGGCATTAGCAGAGCATGCGAGTTACTAGAGCACTTTTTAGGAAAGTGAAATTTATTAGATTTCAAAGTCTAATCGCTGTTTTTTCTTCAACTTGTTCCATGTGCTCCTGGCAGGAGACGTCCTGGCTAATTTCCTCTGCCCAATACTCCCGGTGTAGCAATTAAGTGAACCTATTACGGCTGAGATGACTTAGCAATTTTAATTTTTAAGCGCAACGCGGTATCAATAAAGAACACGTGACTGCTCCATCTCAGCCAGCTTAGATCAGTTTCAGTGTGGAAAAAAAAAAATCATAAAAAACCATCGCATTATCTAAAGATAGATCACATTTCACAGCAGGTATATTTTGTCACACAGCTCTAGCCTAGCACAAGCTGCAACAGACTGCTCGGGGAAGGGCTTTTTCAGGAAATCATCGACTGTAGCTTCTAAGAATGGCACACAATGCTTATTTACCAAGGCAGGTATTATTGTCAGCTGCTCTTGACACAGGAAGAGAGAGTCTACACAGATAACTTGGCTTTAAAGCAAACAAAGTCACACAGAGGCACAAACTCACCCTGCCCAAAAGCTTCTCACCTGCTCTGCTCAAAACCACTACGGAATTCTGCTTTCACTGCCCTCAAGAGCAATGATTTTGCAGCGGGTCTTTGCAGTGCTCTCTGACAGAAGGGACCAGCAGTAAGAGGGGAAATAGCGGGGACAGGTGTGGTCACGCCAAAGTCAGTTCCGTTTGCAGCTCCAAGGCGGCAAATCTACAGTATGAGCAGCAATTACTCCCACATGAGCACCCCGAGCTCGCTATAAAGGACGACTTCTATTTCTGCAGAATCCAAACAGAACACGTCATTCATCAATTCCTGCATTAGTGACAGAAACACAGAATAATTTATATTGGCAGAGACTGCAAAGAGTAATCTAGTCAAAGCAGATCTAATTACGCCTGGTGTAGCCTTGAGCATCTCCAAAACACACGACGCATCTCCAACCGCTTTCATTTCTCTGGTAGAGAAGCGCTTAGCTAGGAAACGGAGCCACAAGCTTTTAGGCACCATCCCAGAGGTCAGAGAGAAAGACAAAGCTTCCAGTTACCGTCTGACACGCGCTGCTCGATGCCAAGGCTCGCCTGTGCAAGGACAGAAAAGGGCTCCTCTGTCCCAGTGCTCGCGGTGACACCCCTTGGGAAGACATCACCGAGCAGCTCTCCCGCCGCTGCTACAGCAGATGAGCACCGGGCAAAAGCTGCGGGGCTTGGCTCTCCCGTGCAGGCTCACCCTTAAGAAAACGTCGTTTAAGTATTAGCGAAGGGCCAATTGGCTCATCTCTTCCACAGCATCCTCACCGGGAGCACCCCGCGGCCACAAAAATCGCCGGAACATGGCCAAGGCGTGTGCTGCCCATAACACCACCGCAAGAGTGCCCAAGAGCCCCAGTCCAGAGACAAAACCAATTGTGTTACCACCCTATAGGAATTTTTTAATTGGAAGGTCTATTAATTAAGAGAGATCAGTTCTTAAAAGTTCGAATTATTCTAAACAGTAGCTTATTGTCCGAGTAGCTTGGCAAGCTAGACCTTTTGTGCCTACAGTTCAGTAAAATGGTAAAAAGCCTCTCCATGTTCACTCTGAGTTTGATTTTTAAAACAGTTTAACCTAAACTACTGTTACAAACCTCCTTGGTTGTCTTTTTTTTTTTGTAAAAAGAGGATTTTACCCTTACAATGCACTCCCACCCCCATGGAGGACTTGATTTCTTGTGAAGTGTCTGTGCGTGCAGCACCTATACGCAATTAGAACAGGAATTTCCTACGTCCTTCCAGATGTATCCACTTAGAGCAAGTAGCAACAAACCACAGTTAAGAAATCCATGCAAACTAGCTTCTGAGAAACACCTACCTAAGCCTCTAGTAAAACTCACCTCTTTTTTTTAATCAGGAATAACTGAGATGCTGGAACCTTTCTTTTTTTTTGTCTTTTAAATGGAAATATTTAGGGCATGGAGCTTCTCTCAAGCACACAGTCACTCTGAACCTTAAACCCAAGGAGCTGCACCGTTGCGACACAGCGCACGTCCAGCCGCCCAGGGAGCTGGAGCTTCCCGAGGAACCTGCCGGCGCCACCCAAGTCACGACCTTTGTAGATAAGGTTTGAGGTATAAATAATGCACCGCTTGACGCCGGCCTCCCTGGAGAT